TTCATCAATAGGAACGTTTGTGAAGACTGAACTGACATCGAGTCATATCATGCGTAATCCGTTTACATTTGTTTCTTTAATGCTGGTCACCAAATCATAGGAATCCTTCAACGTGAGTTTGATGCGTTGGGCTCTCACGGGTTCCAGGATCGCTATCAACCACTTAGTCATGACAGAGTAAGAGAAGTTGCACAGGTCTAGGATCGGTCGGAGGGGTATTCCATTCTTAGGTATCTTTGGTAAGCCTCGGGATGATCGTTCCAGTTGGTCGGGGTTTCTCAGATATGGCTGTGTCCCTCTGTTTTAGATAGCGGAGCGTTTTCGATAGTGACTTTTCCGTTTCTTCTGTGTCAATCTGTCTATCACAAAGCAACATACTCTTTGTTCGTCCCCCACCCCCGCCTAGATGGCCAAACGCCAGGAAGAAACATGCTAAATCCCGAAGAAATACGGTAAGTTGTCACCCGTTTCCGGTGGATCTTCCCACCCATCCACCCACTCACCCTCGTGGTTTATACTTCACGTCTACGACCATCTAAAATGGAAATCTCTCTTTCTCGTGCTCGTCAGCTTGGAGTGCGGAAATCTAGCCTTCAGCTGGATTGCCTCATGCAAACATGTGCCTACTGAATGCCACACATGAGTCACCAACCCCTAACCAATTGTTCTTTTCACAATCTCAACCTGAGATTTATTTTAGAATCACTACTTGGCATCATACTCACTAAATTTCATAGTGTGATTAAATTGAATCTCAAATCATGTCACTACACAACCAAGTCGAGTTGGGAATGTTAAACCGATGATTTCACCTCAGTGATTTTAGCCTGCACAAGTGAAGGCGGTGTGCACTACGTGACGTCAGTTCAGGTCACATTGCCTTAGCACTAATTTGGTACTAATTTCATCTGTTAATTCACCAAACAACCTCTAGATCACTTTCTATGCAATAAAGAACGTTAGCCTGTCATTCCATCCTTGTTGGGACGTTACGTGTCATTGTCGGGACTCGGAATGCGAACCTCTAAGTTGAGAGTAGAAATCTTTGTTCCCCCGGAACTACTCAGTCAACTGGTAACACATTCAGTGAAGGACAACATGAATTCACAATATAGTGTTTGAATAAGCTTATTTCATCTCCTACGGAGGAACAAACAGGTTGTCCTAATTCTGCGCCAACTGTTTGGGCTCATCCGAACGGAACAATTTGATCCCTAATTTATTATCCATGTTCAACTCAAATGCTACTTTAAAACACAACGGATTTCTAGTTGGATTTCGACAGTATGTAAGTACTAACCTCGTAATCACACACACACACACACACACACACACATCTGTCCTCACAGCTGACGTTTGGCTGAGCGAAAGTTTAACCCAATGCGTGCATATATCCACCTTTCGTACTGTGTGCATATCAAGCCACAGCAATACGGACTCTTTGTTCCCCACTGGGTGAATGTATTCGGGCGAATCGGTGAGTCCGCGTAAGAATTTGTTTGCGTGTTATTTCTTTGAGAACTCAACTGTTCCTAATGGAAATCAGCCTGTCATTTTCGCCAATGTGTGTAACTGCATACGAGCGCGTTATGAATACCTTCAATATTCCACCTCAAACAACAATTTCCATTACAAAATCAGACTTTTTTCTATGCTCCCATTCGATTAGACCGGTGATATTCCCAGTCCCGAAAACATTTACGCCATGGTGACAACCGATGCGAGTGGTCCAATGAACGGACCGCGGGTGCAAATTGACCGAACGCAAATGAGATCACCAAACGTGCATGAAGGATTGCAAAAGAATATCCTGTCGGCTAGTGCCGGAGTGAATGTGTTTAGTTTGAACAACGATTCCCCGTTACTGTCCAAGACAAAGTATGTTTTCTCCAGTGGTATCGTTCATTAGTGAATTACAGGAGTTTTTGTTTCCAGTATTTGCTGAACCATTCCTGTTCTGACTCAATAATCGATATCCCAATGCTTTTCGTATACTTGAATGGGCTGAATACAGTACCCTGAAGTAGAGTAAAATAAGATAGATGTTCAAATTACGTCATGAAACGGCTCTGTCCCCTATCTTCTGATTGAACTGGTGCTGAGTCCGAAGCTGTTTATCATTTACATTTACGATTTAATTGTTCTCACAGCGTTGAGGATGTATAGGATGGTATCGAACTTCTAGGATTAGGAAAGAACGTTGAAGCTTCCGGATGAATTTGTTTATGGTTTGCACTTAGTCTGTAGTTCATGTCAGCTGTAGTTGGTTGTGAGAAATAAGAAGCGAAACACATTACTATTTGTGCGACAGTGCGTTCTGGATTGTGGGACTTGGGCGAATGGATGTTATTTACAAGTGATGTTTCGTTCTGGACTACATTCAAACGCAATAATCATGAGGTAGCTCAAAGCAGATGCATCCAAAGCGGTTATGTTCATGGTCACGATTATCAGGATAGGATCGTACAGAACGCGATTCCGTTCCAGACATTTTTCTGGACATTTCGCACTCCGATGCTTCACAGATTCACTTTTGATTTCATCGAATTTACGAGGTCAGCTCGGTCCCGCTCGCTCTACTTCCTTACGGTCAAATAAAAAACCCTTGAAGTGAGACACAGTAGCTTTTACCTGCTGTTCTCCTAGCACCACGAAAGCCAGCACATGAACATTCACATTCAACGTGGTCATAGTTTAAATAGGGTCATAGTTGACTTATTTAAAATGCCCAGGAATGCCCAGGAATACATTCGCCGTCAAATGAACCACAGAAATGATTTGTAGTTGCCCTAAAAGCTATGCAATTTATATCGTTATAAAATAAAAATGATGTATTTTGAAATTTGAACATAACATAACATAACACAAAACATAACATATTCTCCTGTGCTCGTCAAAACATTAATTTACTACTTTACTTTCATGGACTAACTGTGATATTGTGATTCTTCATCCGAACCAATGTGTAAACACCCTATGGGATTTGTAAAAGCGAAGTCTTTGTAAGTTATATCCCATAATAAAAATTTGAATTTGAATTTGAATTTGAATATTCGTTTCACAATTCACTGACTATGGATAAGTCAAATGATATGGCAGACTCTTTCGATAACTACGAATTTTGTTTCCGTATACCGCCTACTGAAATGTTGTCAGTAGTCACGTACTTTATTCATATTTCCCTTCATGATCGCGTTGACTACGTGTCAGTCAGATCATTCCATTGCTGTTCTTGAATATATGTAAATGATGGGAATACGGGAATACATTTTCGCGTGGCACTCAAAACCTTTGGAGTGAAATAGATTCTAATTATGATTTCTTTTAAATTCAATGATTTTGTTCAGGAGGTATTTATTCGCAATTCTTATAGTCATAATGATATGGAATTCCTTTATTCCGCATTTGCACAGTCTACTGGAAATTCATGAATTACGATTATTTTACAATTTTGAAGTCGTTGTCCATGTTTTGTGTATCTGATGCAACTTTGTGTCATGTAGATCGAACTTCACAAATGAACGTACCCCTAGTCGGATGCTGACCCCGAATCTCCCAGAACCGATTGACCCTCGGTACGCTTCATCGATGTGGTGCAGACTAGTCGATTTGTGGAGCAATTTGCTCAATGAAGAACGAGCATTTTGGAAGATTCAACTACAGCATTTGTTCAGCGAGTCATTGAAACGTCAATTTGTACAAGATCCGAACGATTTACTCGAAGTGCTGGATAAAGCGAATCGACAACACACTGAGGAGACCGTAGCCTTGTGGAAACACATCTACGAGAGTTGGATTCCTCGCGATTATTTGGATTACTTCTCAGCAGAGACAAGGTATGATGATTTTTGATTGAACGAGAACAACTCACTCATGTGTCACGTTTTGGAGGGTGCCTTATATTGCTTGATTTATTGATGTTTGTCAGTGTGGAATTTTATACTTTTTCTCGGTTGAAAAGAGTAACTCGGAGTGATTGGTTATGGAAAACAGCACACCACAGATAAACTCATATTCAGTAATTGAATAAGTAAGGCCAGTATAACCGTATTCATCGAGTGTTTTACTCCATCATCGTGATATCATAGATAAAGAAACATGCTGAAAAATGCCGATGATCAGAACCGACTTACACCACGACTACCTGTTTCGTGAATGCTTATCCCTGTGTCATTTTTCGACGTAGAATCACCATAGCAATGTACCTTAGATCATATGTGATGCAATAAGATAAGAAAACCTCTCGTTGGCCTGCGACACCAAAACGTCGTGTCCTGTTTATGTGAGTAATTAAGCACGCAGTCAATTATGCAGTGCGTTTATTGTAGGAGGCACAAATGTAGCCGGTCCATAGGCCGGTGGGCAAGCACAAAGGGGCAACAAGTTGGAAGGAAGGTCGACAACTGGCTCGTGTATCACACGACTGCCGAAAGCGGTCAAGCAAGCAATCAAAAAGTCGAACAGTCAATCAAAGTGGGAACAGTCGAAACCTAATATCTGATTGGCTGTAGTCACTCGATATTGTTGTAGAATCAGTCCGCATGGCTTGAGTGCGTGCGTGTGTGCTACTGACAGCATTTGTCAACCAACCAATCAATCAATCAGTCCATCAGTGCGACTACAGGCAAGCGTTACAGTCACTTGTAGGCTACAACGGTTTCTTTATTAATTTGTGTAATGGGCAACAGAACGGGTTGTCCCCAAGTCAGGGGTCTTCGTTTTACTGGAAAACGAATCACGAAATGTGGCGTACCACGTAAGGTTCCAGCTGATCACTTGCATTGAACTGGATAACACTAAGCTACCTATCACTAAACTTGGTTTGATATATCAGCTATCTTGATCGAGGCTACAGGTGATCGTTCACCATGAGTAAGCACATAGTGACGAAATGGATGACGTAACATATTTGTGTAAGTTCCGCGATCGTTTTGAGCAATGCTCATCTTTAAGGTATTCAGAAATATGCAAACAGTGGAAACACTGGAACATCGGAACAACATATAGGTGATGCATATGCTGACAAGCCTTCTTATCATAACTGTACCAATATATATATGCATGGAGTATTTCCTTCAAAGCAAGTACATCGATATATATGAGTTGTCAGGAGAGTTTGTGCAATTAAAAGTGCATCATTTTTGCAATTTAAACACAGAACCTTTGGGCATACGCGTTCGTTTACCATACCACTCGAGTAGTATCACCCAAAAGGAAGTTCTCTTCGGTGTAACAAATATTCTAGGTTGACAAATTTTATTCATGATCGATTTTGACTGACTGATTTTACCCCACCTCCAACCCCGCAATGCACACACACATATACATACAGTACACAAACACACATACACACACACGATTAAATCTAATCTAGATTTCTTAAAACACTTCAATAGCCTATCTGGTTCCATGTTATTCGTACGCGACCGATGAGAGTATACGAGAGGAAATCCTCTGGCAGTGTTTGTCTCCTGATTTGCCTGTTCAAATTCATTACGGGATCCTTAAATTATTCGGTCCATCGTAGAGTCTGGAATCACTACGTTAACGCTTCGATTTTCTTAGACATAATCGGCAGTGCATACTCATCGTCGAGTCAGGTTTATGCGGAGAAGGGGGGAGGGAGGCTGGAGGTGGGAATTCATATAAGGAGTACGATACCAACATGCGGAAAATCTCCCACGCTAGGAGTATCAGCAATGTTAATGAGTTGGATGCATTTAAAATACCATGCACACATCCCTGACTGGTTGATGAGCAACAGGCTGACTGACCATGATTTGTCCGTGTACACTGAAAGCGGCATTTGCCTCATGTGATAAATGATACAGAACAAACAGGCTGGCAAAACGAACCTCCGGGAACCTAATCCCCGGGATTTCGTTTTTGAGGCTAACGCATGCGCCGGTGTGTTTGCTGAACAAACATCATGCATGGACAACAACTCTGCCGGAAGGTTATTTTTCAACAGATTTTCGGAAAAAAACACCGACAAAAACATCCGATTTACAACTCGTTCAGAAAAGGTTTCACAGCCACGGGCTATGCCTGTTCACTATTGACTCAAGAAAACCCAAAGACTATTTCAAAACACCGTTTTCCCGTTGACCGTGCGAGTCGTGCTTAACTCTCTCGCTCTCTCACGCGCGCACGTTCGAACGCCTTCGGTTGTTTGGGCATTTCCCGAATGCCGGGTAGTGTGGTCAAACAACAAATAGAAACCGCTCGAATTGTGATAAGTATCTGTCAAGTCACAGTATTCCACTGCTGTCAGTGTTCGATCCCCGTAGAATAGTTGCTAACCTCGGTTCGGAATATGAGACGGTAATTGGGAAGAAGCAGAGGGGCTACGAAACAGACCTCCATTCACAGTCGAATTCTGCATAGCTTCTCGAGAAGTTTATTGAGAATTGTAATGGTTGAAGTACTCACAGATCATGGGTTACGAATCACGCATTAGGAATCACGGACGTCACGGAAGTACTGACTCACTCTGGCAATTGCAAGACGGTAAGCAAGGGAAAGGCCGTAGACGTCGCAGTTCGCTTACTGGAAGAAGATAAGAGGTTAAAATAACATGGACAAAAGAAGTTTAATGGTTATCCAGGAATCTACTAATTGCGTTCTCGAATTCTTGGTCACGTACAGCATACGTCTGGACCGCGTGGCTTGTGATTGGTCCGCCTATGGTTCGTTGTCCAGGAGCCTCAACACGTAGTCATTTTGTTGACGTCATCTGGGAAGCCTGACTCATCACAATTGTTCAGAAATTGTAACGTGTGGCCCAGTGGTTTCGCATCATCCCATAGGCTAGGATTATCACAAAAATGCAGTCATTGACTACCGAATTTACTGACCGTTGCAGTACATAAACACCCACTGAATCGCCACTTTTCCGGACTACATATAGAGAGCACTTAGAGAAAAATGTGAGTTTTTAAGGGAACCAGATTATTGAACAGTCTGCATTAAACAAAAGGCTAAGTTATCTCCGGCGTCATGAATAAAAATACGTTTTACAAAACCGCGATAATTTATGCACCATGTTCAGTGCTTCCAAACGTTTTCACACTCGTTGGTGATGTCACCTGATCAGTCACTATGAATGTTGTCTGTTTGCATGGGAGAGAGAGTGTTAAATCCCGCAGGGTGAACGAGAAACCAAATGTAGGGGGTCAGTCTGGAAAGCCAATTGTGAATCTGTGGTATTGTTTTCGTGATACGCTGTACAGGTAAGCAGCAGATAAAATAGTGGCATCAAAGAAAGTGAGAGTCGTTATTCTAAGAGCATGCTAATGAAAAACAATGGAAACCAAGATGAAGAATTACATGGACAATGCACATGAACTATCGAACGGTGCGGCAAATTAAGATGATCGACAAACATGGTCTTGATGATTGAAGATCCGGTCCAACGCTTTCACATTTGAGACTTGCAATTCTGTGTTCCACAGACTCGGTGTGAATGCATAAATGATGCTTCTCAGCCTAGATGGAACAATTACTTTTATTTTATTTCTTGCTTCTGACGCAGCCTGGACAACGAATACCTGTGCTTCCTTCCAGGTAGATTAGATATTGCCCAATGCCTATACTTCGCACATTGAAGGAATCTTCTGTGAATTGAACATCATGTTTATACCGTGCCCAGTCTATCAGTCATACCTTTTCCTATTCGTAAATGGCGGTAGTTTCATGACCCCGTCCCAGTCGGTGCCATCTTTGTGATCCAATCACTCTCTGCTCGGCTCGCATTCCGTAATCACAGGTCTAACAAGCATGAAATATTGCAGGTTCATCTGTCGCAACCCAATGTGGTAGCTGTTCTGGTTTAGTCGCTGTCACCGGCTTCCTTTGGACCCAATGGTCCGAGATTCGAGCCCCGCCATCGTCACCCAAATTTGATGGTAGGCATCTTTGCTGTCGTCCAGTTCAATACCACGCCTAACCTATGGGGGCCTTGTGTGATTTATCACTCCAATTACCGGGGCTAAGGTTGCCGGTTTTCATCAATGAACAGCTGGTCCTCGAGACTATGGGGTTTATCCCGTCTGCTGTTCATCACAATAAAAGTGTGCAGTAAAGAAAACTCCAGTCAATACTCTGTTGGCTCTGTTTTATTTTTGAGCACTATGGCTAGTTGTTTTTGTATCGAATCAACCAAGAGAACTGAAAACACTACAGTGAAAGATAAAGTTCAGAATAAATGCATTTCACCCACAGATATCGATATACACGCATGATGCTGGAAACTGAAGTATATTTCCAAATGGAGTTAGATCAATACCTGTAGACGTGAATAACCAGAATGTTGGTAACTCAAAGGTACAAAACTCGCGAATCGCAAGGATTTGTCAACGACGTGTACCGTTTTAATTCTCAAGTGAACTACTATCATCAAATAGATGGTTTGCAATGACGAGTTCATCAGGTCTCATTCCCGTTTATATCAAGTTAAGTCAAGTCAGTGGTAGCTTTATGCACATAGATGGGTGAATTTTCAGCGTTTACACCATTTACAAAATCGTTACATAATGAAACTGAAAGCAGTAGATTGTGTTTGTCACTGAAGCAAGCGGTCGCGCAATTCTGTGGAAATTTTATCCGTGTCAATAAGTAGACGTACTAGATATGGCAAAACAGAATTACGATAAGGGGAGGTACGTGCAAATAAAAGTTTAAATCTTGAGCGTGTGGATGATGTAGATACAGCTTTTGAAAATTCATTGTGTAATGGGTGGTGAGTGTCTGAGGTTATTTGGGCAGTGAAACTTTCGCATGCTTGTAGGTGTCTGTCAATGATAGAATCGGCGAGTTTATCCCTGACAATGCCACTACATTTACAGATGTTTCAGAGATCTCGCCAGTAAATAAAAGTGTTTCTTCAACATACCGGGAAAAATCACTGGAGAGGAATACAATCAGTGGGGTAGCACTCATGCATTCACAAACTTAACAATTAGCTTATGGGGAAAAGAACGTAATCTCAATCGGAGTGAGAAATATGAAAGCTTTCTAACTTTACAGAACGTGTTTTGAATATTCAGTGACCATGATAAATTGCGTGATAAGGTGATGCCAAGGTATTTTACTACTGTTCGTTTGGGAACGAGTTGTTGATTGGCAGAGAGGATGGGGAACCTATCTGTGAGGGCAGAATATAATACATTGGCCAAGAGAGAAAAAACAGCATCCTGACATTTAGAGGCATTTAGTGAGAGAGAACGGAACAAGGATCAAGCAAAAACATCGTTTAGTTTGCTTTGAATTTCTGGAGCCTCTTCAGGGGCGGACGCTTTGCAACCTAAACAACGTCATCTGCGTACTTACAGGCAGTGAATGCAAGAGGACTGGTTTACTTTTGACACATTGAAAAGAGAAATGGGAAAACATTGCACCTTGCGGAACACCCAAAGAAATTGGGAAAGCGGATGAATTTTGCCGTTGAGGCACATAAACTGCTTTCTATTTGTGAAATAACCGCAGATCAATCTGCTAACGTTTGGATTAACATCACTTACGTAATCAGGTTGAGAAATACCGATCGATTAAGACTGCCGAAAACGTTTTTGTAGTCTAAGAACATCATTCTGAGGGTCTAACTTTTCTTATCTAGTGCCGAAATTATTGAATGAACAAGGTATGCAACGGCATTAACTGATGAGCGCGAACAGCGAAATGCAAATTGATGTATATCGTCTTCTTCAGACTCAGTGACAACCCACGGTAACTAGCATCTCTCAAATAATTTGAGCATGACTGACAAGCAGGCGATGGGACAATACTTCTCAGGTTCCATTTTTGGAACGGGATTTATCTTGTCCAGTCTCCAAATATCGGGATTTTTCTGCTTATCCGTCATTGAATTTAGAAGAAGCTATCAGCAATCATCAGCTATACCAACGATATGTTGAAGGCATTTTTGTCGTTAGCTATGCCAGAGGTGACGTTATCGACCTTTTTCTGCCATTGAACAACGCCCGTGTGCGTATCGAACTGTCGATCGAGCAGGAGTTGATGATTGGAATTGATGATAACTGGAAACCCAGATGAAAATTTGAACAGGTAGTATCATATTATATCGTCTGCAATAGGCATCAGCAATTTTTGTCCGGATATACGTTTTGCAACGCCACCTTGCTGTGTTCTCTTATCGAACAGATCTTCATAAACGTTTAAAGGAAACGCGCGTTTTCCGAATACATATATTGTTCGAGGCAAACTGTTGGCTACCTTGGGTTTGTCTTTTTGAACATATTATCGCAAGACAAACAATTATCGATTTGAACTGACTATCCTTCGGACTTCACCTTCACGCACAGCCCTCAGTTCATTTATGGTCAACCATACACTCGCAAACACTAGACTCGAGTTTCGCTCTCTTAGAACTCATCAGCAGTGCATATCCACTGTTCCATCCGTGTTTTGAACTCATGAATACATCGTATGGAAGTCGTGTGTAGGAGTTAACGTACAGTCAACTGTGTTTCCCCTCATTGTTGTCGGGCCCAAATGAACTTACTGACTATCACTCAGGACGACATCCGACAATACATGAATTAGCAATTCGGTTCAGCTCTCATCTGAGCTGGTTGTCAGTGGTAACCCACACGCCTTCAGCGCGTTTAAAACCCTGGCGGGAAGATGCATATGCATTACCGATGAGCTCTAACAAAATGATGAAACTCGAGTGTAATTCTTTCGAGTGTGTGGTTGACTGGAAGACATGATGATTTTGTGTGAAGGTGAAGTCTGAAAGGTAGACAGATCATATCAATATCAATTATCCCACATCACTACTCACAAGCAACTGTGAGTTGAAAAGTGGAAACAAACAATACGGCAAAACGCTTCTTATCATGACTCTGCCTTTGGGCTTCTACGGATATGTATAAATGATATTTGTGGAAAACATCATTTGTGAAGAATTAGGGAGCCGCTCTTCGGAGCAATCCTGTAGTCCAAAAGTATTCTTGTCTAGCCGGGCGCATTGTATTTTGTTCATGAACTAGTCAACTAGCCACGAGGGAAGAGGGGATATGGACCAAAGTTGACGGTGGATAAGAGCATCAAGTAATCATATGTTGCATATATCACAGACAGGAATAAGGCTTGCTTATTTGAACCAAAAAACGTTTTCTCTCTGTTAACTGCAATTTGGTTATCGTTCTATCTGATTCCATCTCTCCACCCCGATCTTCAGGAAGATAATGGTTTGCCTGCACTCAGTAATCGACAGCCNCTTTTCACTATGGTCAACGAGATATGTTCTGGTCAGGACTGGGATGGCGATGTGACCCAACGGTTGAATAATCTGCAACAGCGAATGGTTCAAGCCCGAGCGATCGATGGAATCGGGATGGCGAACGATCCGGACGTTACGCCGACAACAAAATCACCCTCCTATGGACTGTTCCGGGAATCGGATAAACGCCCTCAAGCCACAGGAGCTCCATTATTGTCACACATGCCTGCTGATAACTGGCAGCAAATCAAGCTTTTACTCAAAGAAAGGTAAGCATTCGGACCAACCTTAATCATTCGATCATGTTTCTTAGGAACAGACACGAGAATAGATTGATAAAAGTAGGCAATAAACTGGAAACCGATGAAGAATTGGAATTATACAGTATGTCACAGTTGAAGAACTTGACTTTTCAATAGATTGTAATGTACCCCGTTTCTGATGTCTATGGAACGTCGTACGTTTTGTTTCAATCAGGTAACCGCGATGGTTGAGCATAAGTGTTGCCTTGTGGATTATGTTCGTTATTACATACCAGAGTGTGATGAACAGTGGAGCGGTGTGGTCCTCGAAGACTTACTATTCAGTGATGATAACGGTCAACTTCAGCCGCGGGCCTTGGGGTGGTATGGAACCGGGCGATAGCAAAGTTACCTACCACTCAAGTTAGGTGGCGATGGTGGGGTTGGAACCTCGGACCACAAGGTTCAAAGCAAGCCGGCGACAGCGACGAGATCACTGTGCCACCCTTTCTGGCGATAGGCGTTGAGCAATTTTCTCAAACAAATTTGCATAAGGCGACTAAAGGAACAGAGCTGAGAAACGTGTTTACTGCGCCACCGCGCATCACCAATAACTTCAGGCCATGTAAGTGTAATTTTCATGTTCCATGGCAATGATAATCCGTGATGGGATTCATTTCAATTATTCAATTTTGCTTTGACTATAATCAGAATGGTCCCTTGTTGAATACTTGTGGGATTCTTGGATGCCTCGGACCGTTGATAACGTCTGTCGGTTTATGGGAAGATTCGTTTAGAGTGAGACTCACGGCCTGTACCATTCCGATAGAGGATGGATGTTTGAAGGACCGGTCACCTCGGTCTAGGCAACTTAAGTTCAACGCACAACCCCAGGCATTATCGCCATCCTCGAAGTGAAACTGGTGGAAGATACTGCGTAAGAACAAGGTTTGCAGCTCTTTACAAAACAGGGACAAAATAATGAAGAATTCAACGCNAACGCTGAAAAATCTATTCTATGTGTTGACCGTGGAGGTTCGCTTTCTTTTCATGTCTATCAAAATTAGCCTAATCCCCATCCTCCCTACATATTCTCACTCACTTTGTATACATTATAAATCTAGCAGCGGTCAATAAATTTCGCTTCACTATATTATTATACTATATGACAATGATGATTTTAAGATATACACAAATCGAATTAAATGCCCAGATTTGCAAAATAAAATGGCAATTTTACAACTCACTTCATTTTACACAGTCATTCAGAATTGCTGGAACAAGTATACAATGTGGCCGAATTAGTCGGCGCTGCTTTGGATGCTGAGATGGAGGACAATATTCGCTCGGCCAAAGCTCGCGGCGAGCACGATATTGATCCTCTTACATCCTTACCACCAAGTGGCTTACAGGCCGCCGCTAAACTCCAGTCGGTTGTGCTCGATTTGGAATCCCGACTGGAAGCCGTCGATCTACCACAGGAGTACAGCGTGGATCAACCTCGTTCACAACCACTGGTGCCTACGTTTCATCCAATGAATGCCGAAAGTATTCACGCAGTCAGTGAATCCGGTCCGAGGTTGATGAATGGTCAGGCGGCCAAATACAATATCAAAGTCGAAGGGCAGGTGAATGGGGCTGGCAAGGTGAACAGCGATGAAGACGATGACGATGATGATGAAGACACATACACCGGACTCAATAGCAATATGAGTGGACACAGTCAGGAAAAGCCGCCGTTTACCATACTCACAGCCACCAAGGCGCCAAATGGAAACAGTGACAAAAATGGTGCACCAGTCATTTGGGTAATTCAAGACAATCGTGAGAATGAGTTGTATCATCAAAATGCAGAGGTTATCGATCCGCGTTGGTCCAGCAGCTATCCTGAATCCGAGGTGATTAGCATTGGTACCACACGGCATGATGGTCAACCGGAGTTGTATGATTGGCGACTCAGAAAACAGTAATATGACACAATTGTTTGTCAACCGATCAATCGATCGCTTGTCATTCATTTCCTCTCACCTGATCAACAACATGACTTTGTACATAATTAATTTTACCAGAGGAAAAAGGAAAACAATATCAATTTCAACATTTTTATTTTCGAGTGCAAATTTACCACGTTGTAACCGAAATAATGACCGTCTGCTGTGAGATTGCAAAGATCCATTGACTCTGCCACACATGATCTCTGATGAATAATAAGTGCACCACCTCACTTGATTCCACTCCACTCCACCCCACTCTACACCACACCACACCGTAAACACCACCCTTCCCTCCCTAAATCATGCGCTGTGATTCATCATCAACTTTCCTCGGTGCTGCCCTTGAAGTCATTCATTCCATCTATCCCCTCCCTCTTCTTCTTCCTCTCTACTTGGAACTCTTAATTACATCTCACACATTCATTTATACCAGTAAATTATGCATAAAAGAATTCGACGGGGTATTTTCACAACATTTGTTTACTGTTGTGTATAACACGTGTTCAGATCACCGTCTCTCGCAGTTGAAGAAATTGGGACAGATCTTGGTAATGCGAGTTTTAGTTGCACAATTGTATTACACTGATCAATAAACACGGTACGTACTCAGGCAGTTTGATGAATGAAACAACCAGCTATCGAAATCGATTTCAACGGAACAACCCTGCACTGTAAATTCGCGTAATTCATGTCCAGTACTGCCCCGTTGAGTCTTAAACGGATAGCATTGAAGAAATCTATAATTTAGTGGAGACGGATTTTACACCATGGAATTCTTTAAGCTTCAATGTAAAACAATTTATCACAACTGAAGAAAGGTGTGACAGATGGATCCCTAATGGACATTATGAGAAGGGTGGGCGGGATAATGCCTCAGGCGGGATAAAGAAGCTTCAGCATAGCGAACGCTTTTAATATTCCGTGTTGTTTAGGCGCATGGGAACACCGGGCTTCAATCAGTCTGAACCGTTTGATGAGCAATATTCACATAATCATGTGCTGTTGTCTGCCAAAACTTGAACAGTGTGGGATGAATATGTTTCCGATTGCGTCAGGCAATGCTAAGCCCAGTCTGGAATCTGTTCTGTCATACGGTTGCGCATTAATTGCTGCACTCTGTACAGACGAATCTCTTCAGCCGCAGACGCTTGACGCTTGACTCCCGAAAACAGTTCAGGCGAGTGTGCGCGTGTGTGTGCGCTCACCGTAAAAGAAGTCTGAGTTAGTTGTGCAACAGGCTGAGGCACCTGCCGATAATAAATGCCTTTTCGCTAATTATTCAGCATCATCCCTCTCGAATGGCAGATTCCTCCGAGCTGTCAATTTGTTCACTGATTCGTGAGTTGAACACTTATGAACTGCGTCGGTTGCTAAGGTTTCCTTGAGGACTTGATGCGTAAAATCCAGGTGGAAATCCGCTCAGATTCGTCAAGCTGAATTATATAGAGACTGAAATAAACAGCGTTTGTTCTCCAACTCATACGCTAACATGTTCAGGCCCCTTTCCAGTCACTATCTCTTGTACGCCCCGTTTTAACTCCAGAGAATCCGTCGCGTACATAATTCATAAGATGTTGCAGTACAGATCCTTTTATAATTGACCATACATAAGTGTTATCAACAAGTGAACCCCCAATGACAAAGTGGGTTTACAGATAGAAAATTTGGAATTCACAATTCAGAATTTCCTCCCGTTCTCTCATCTTTCCCCATCTTCCATTGGGTTTGTTGCATCAGACTTTAGACTTTTCGCATCTCGTTTTAGTCAAATTTGAGCACACCGAGATCCGAACGGTGATCAGTCCGAAATGGAGCCTGTCTCGACTCACGAGTGCGGAAAGTGCATACAGGGTAAAAATTCGTGTACTGTGGAACAGAGGTACACTTTTAACCAGCGCGATTAGGTGACCTAACCGTGCTTCTAAAACAACTTCCTGGATAGGAATTCACGTTCGAAAAATCTTAAACAACAAAACATGTATTTCTGATCGAATTTTTGTATCTAAATCAGTGTGCTGACTACTTAAAAAAAATTGATTGAACTGGTTACAAACCGATGAGTTATACAATTGAAAGATGAATTTAACTTATTGCTCAGCAAGACTGGAAATGCACCAAGTCAGCACTATCCGAAATTGTATTTATGTATCCGCTCGGAATCCGTGATACACATGTACTCCGCCGGTCGCAACCTGCCTCATTTTTAGCTTTTCGTTAAATAACTCCAAGATTAGGGAAAACACTATGGGATAAGGAAGAAGGTTTTGGTAAAATTCTCAGTTCTTTTATTATTTTGGTATGAGGGAAATAATTGATTTGAAAAAGAAATATGAAAGAAGATAAGGAGATTAATTTCATGATAAGTCGATTAGAAGTGGGAGATGACACTTTACCTGAGTCATGCTTAACTTGAACTGCTACATGTGTTATATTTGCACAAGACAGTGCCATGGCGACGACAGTGGTTTATTACGAACAACGGTAACGGTATCGAAAAATTGGCGTACGTACAACAAAATGTCTCATTTGGGACAAGTGATCAAAATTCCCATGAGCAAGTAGAATAATTAATGAAACAGTCCGACAGTAGATGCACAGTTTCTGTAGTTTCGATGTTGCAAACAATAATTCGCTCATTTTTGATTGTTGTGAGAAACCGCCAATCACATTCCTATGCACAATCTAAACATACTGCTCACTAATATGAGTAGTACCGCACAACATACTGTAATAATGCTTGTCGAGTGCTACCAATATACAGCAAAATGTGGTTCCGGTTCCTGATAAATTAAATTACCTGAGTGACTGAGTTCGACAAAGAAATCTGAACACTATTTGCACGATTTTGTTTGTTGTTTGTGACAGCTCTTTTTGGCGTAGTTGTAACAAGGATCTTCCCTGTCTGCAATCCGCTGGCCTTTTAACCTTGGAATATTTGGTTAGTTTGCTCTACCAGTGAGCTCCAATGACTGCATCACGAACTGACGAAGTCTGCCTCGTTCACGACTGACTGTGAGAACTCACGTTTTTTCATTTTTTAAGGCCAATTCTGTTTCGGGTTAGAATAAACCACGTGTTTTCTATCGGGTTTCTATCTGGGCTGCACGCAGGTCACGCCATTGTTTCGATGTCACGAAATAATAGCTAGCCAAAAATATGGTAGTTACGCTTAAGGAAAAGCGGTGAGTTCATGCTGTAAGATGGTTTCTCAGTGATCATTCAATACCATTGCTAGCACAAGGTACCGGTCTAATGTACAAATGTGTGCATCAGAATCTTGCATCTTGAGCAGCATACCGAGCTCGGTTGGGCCATTGTTTGATACCACATCCCGCACCACCATGAGGCTTTGATCGCTAATTAGCCTATTGCAATACGATTCTTTCCGCAGTAGTAGTTTCACGAATAGAGTTCTCTTAAATCAAATTCCTTTTCATCACTAAAGTTGAATAAATTTATTCCGTTTTGTTCACATTTAATGAGTTTTCAGTTCGCAATAAGTCTCTCTGGTCAAACAAAAAGCATCGAAAGTGAAATCAGTCATTTAAAAAATTGGTGGAGAAATGAGTTACGCGTTTTGGTTTGGTTAGTAGATGAGGTCAAGTTAGATGACTCTGATGATATTTGTTTGACACGGTCGTTAAAATGTGCATCTACAGCTGAAGAAGTCTTTCTATTCGTAAATTTGTTAGAGCCATACGCCATTACATTTCCATGTATTTCACCACTTAGACCAAGCGTTCTTAAATGTTTGTCTTATCTTTCTCACTGAAACATTCAACTTAAGGAACGTTTGTGTTTCTTACGTATGACTCTAAAAGCCTCGAGTCATACGTAGCAATCCGCATTTACGTTTCCCTGAGAGCTTTTTATGGTGTCCCGTCCTTTTAGAACTGGTTTTTGGTCGAATCCGTTTCACATACAGCACCACTGTGTGATCAGGATCCGTTGCAGGATCTGGTTATCTTATTTGTGCTGACTGGTCCCACGAGAGGTATCTCTTTTGAATTCCTCATCATCAGTAAGCGTCTCGCATCGCCCTATTGTTGACCATGTTCGGTAGTGACAGGCTTGGGCGTCTTTGTTCTTTCAATGTCATTGAGAGTGACGTGAGCATGACCGTAGTTTACACCTGTGGGTCAAAATCAAACGCACCACTTGGTTGGCTTCAATGCCGAAGTATAGACTCGGAATATCTGTCACACTCGATTTCAACTCGAACTGCGTGTTTGGAGTCAACAGGGGGTGTAATAGTGTTTTCGAGGTGAAAATTCCTTTTATTTCGAGAAAGTTTCGTTAAAATTCGCAAACATTTGAAGGAATCTCGTATACCTTGTAGGAAGCAGCCTTGAGGGTTTTAAAAATGGTGATGATTGTGTGTGGTAGGGGAAATATCCAAAAATTCAGGGGGACATTACTTAGGTTGCGGGTTTTATATACATGACATGTGGTTTGTTCTGTATTATACGCAACGTTTTCCCGTTGTCCCACCTCAGCTCTTAACTTTTGGACCCTCGCTGTACCGTTAGTTCATTTGACCGCTGTCCTCTCAATCCCTCCACAACTCTGGCATTGAGTAGCGCTGACCCCAGTCTTATTCGCTTGCTCTGCTTGATGGCCTGTTATCGTTATCAACTGGGCTGTAACCGGTCAATCAGACATCTGTACCTCTTAACAGGTTTAATCGAAACTGAAGAAACGGGTCCCTGTGGAAAACTTGTGGTGAAATGAGCTTTGTGCAGGTATATCGTTTTCTACACTGACTGCGGTAAAATTCTACTAATGTTATAATTCCAAAAGGTGGTGCCTGGTCGAGGATGGTTGCTTATTGAAAATTACAGTTCGGATATCAATAATTTGGCATGCAAATAACAAATATCTCATTTGAAAAATGCCATAGAAATTGCTGGCAACACAAAGGGTGATGAATGGAAGAGTTCGTAGTTATTCTGTGGGACCGCAGCCATTCGCCCTCA